CATAGTTGAAAGCTTTAATGAAAGTCTAGACCAAGCAGAAGAATTTTAGAGCTTAAAGACTAGTCTTTCAAATGCACTCAGTCAGATAAAGAAAAAAATAACATAAAAAAATGAACTTCACCTTTGAGAAATACAAGGCAGAGCCCCCAATCCCCAGAATTTTCTTTTGGAGAATGGGTCCCTTGTAGTACAGGTTTCCCCCGCTAGGTAGGTGTTCTAGAAACCCATCAGAACCCGTGTAGCAGTTAGCACTGTTGTGAGAGGCTGCCTTCAGTTTCAGTGAATTTTTTTTGGAGATTCTTTAAGTGCATTTGCCCATTTCATGATGGATGATTTACAAGCGCACCTGCTCACACCATACTGAGCAATCAAGCAGTTTTTGACCTAAAATGGCATGACCCCATGCCCCACCCCGGGTGACTTTTATCGTTTCCCCGAATGAAAAAGTCTTCAAAGGGAAACGTTTTGCCGATGTGGAAGAGGTGAAACAAAAAATGGCAGAGGCACTAAAAGACATCAAAATGGACAAGTTCAAAAACTGTTTAGAGCAATGGAAAAAGCATCTCAATAGGTGTACTGCATCAAATGAAGAGGACTTTGAAGGTGGCTGAAGTTTAAACATGTAAGAATACACAATTTTTTATAAATAAATTTTTTTTGTCCCCCCTCATACAAGATTATGTAAAGCAACAAAGTCTATGACTTATATAGGCATTCCTGAGGGAAAAGAAGAAAAAGTAAGAAGTTTGGAAGACATATCGAAAAAATTCCCTGATCTTGCTAGAGACAGAGATATTGAGATACAAGAAATCCAGAAAACACCTGAGACACTATACAAGACAAACATCACCAATGCATATAGTCACCAGTCACCCAAGATCAGCATGAAAGAACGAACCTCAAAAGCAGATACAGAAGTGTCAAATCACCTATAAAGGAAATCCCATCAGACTAACAGTGGACTTCACAGCAGAAATCCTACAAGCCAGAAAAGATTGGCAACCTATTTTTAGCATCTTTAATTTAAAAAAAGATGTCATTCAAGAAATGTATATCTTGCCAAACCAAACTTCATAAAAGAATAAATAATCTTTCCCAATAAGAAAATGCTCAAGAAATTTGTCACCACTAGACCAGTACTTCAAAAAAAGCTCAAAGGAGTTCTAAACATAGAAATAAAAGGACAACATGCACCAGCATTAAAGCACACATATGTAGAAAGCGCACAGATCCTACACATTACAAAACTGAGAGTCCAAGGCAACTAGCTAACACCACAATAGGAACAAAACTTCACATATCATTATTAAACCTGAATGTAAATCGCCTAAATGTTTCACTTAAAAGATACAGAGTGAAAAGCTGAATAACAAAACAAAACCAATCATATGTTGTCTACAAGAGACTCACCTAATGGCTAAAGACACTTACAGACAAAAAACAAAGGAATGAAAAAAGATATACCGTACAAATGCAAAACAACAGTGAGCAGGAGTAGTCATTCTCTTATCAGATAAAACAGATATTAAAGCACAATGGTTAAAAAAAAAAAAGACAAAGAAGGGAATTATATAATGAATATGTGCTTTAATCATTGTGCTTTAATGTCTGTTTTTTAAACCATTGTGCTTTTTTTTGAATAAGGGTTCAATACAACAAGATGCAACTATTCTAAATATCTATGTGTCCAGCACCAGAGGACTCAGATTCATTAAAAAAAAAAATGCTACCAAATCTAAGAAAATAGATTGACAGTAACACAACAATAGTTGGAGATTTCAACATCCCACTGACAACACCTGACAGGTCATTGAGGTAGAAAATCAACAAAGAAACTCTAGATTTATCTGCACTCTAGGCTGGGCTTGGTGGCTCATGCCTACAATCCTAGTACTTTGGAGACTATGGCAGGAGAATTGCTTGAGCCCAGGTTTTTGACATTAGCATTGGCAACATAGCAAGACCTCATCTCCATTTAAAAAAAAAAAATCTGGACTCTAGACTAAATGAACCTAATATTCATTTAAGAAAGATTCTACCCAACAACCACAGAATATATATTTTTCTCATTTGCCTATGAAACGTTCCCCAAAACTGACCATGTGCTTGGCCATCAAGTAAATCTCAGTCAATTAAAAAAAACTGAAACCATATTGGGTATCTTCTTGGACCACAGTGGATAAAATTAGAAATTAATACCAAGAGAAACTCTCAAAGTTACAAAAGTACGTGGAAACTAAACAACTTGCTCTTGAATAACTTTTGGGTAAACAACAAAATCAAGGCAGAAATTAAAAAAAAAAGGAAACAAATGAAAATACAGACACAACATACCAAACCTCTGGGATTCAGCAAAAACAGTGCCAAGAGGAAAGTGTACAACATTAAATGCCTACATTAAAAAGAAAAATCTCATATTACTAACCTAATGTCACATCTCAAGAAACCAGAAAACAAGAACAAATCAAACCCAAAGCTAGCAAAAGACAACAAATAACAAAGATTAGAGTGAAATTAAATGAGGTTTTAAAAAAAATCCAACAAAGAAACAATAAAACAAAAAGCTAGTTGTTTGAAAGGATGAACAAAACTGATAAAGCACTAGTTAATATAATTAAGAATAAAAGAGAGAAGATTCAAATAAGCGCAATCAAAAATTATAAAGGTGATATTACAACAGAGCCATAAAAATACAAAAGATTATCAGAAAGTACCATAAACATCTCTATGTGCACAAACTAGAAGTTCTAGAGGAAACTGATAAATTTTTGGAAACTGCAACCTCCTAAGAAAGTCCAGGACCAGACAGATTCACAGCTATATTTTACCAGATGCACAAAGAAGAGGTAGTGGATACAGAGAAAAGGGTACACTTAAGACACTGTTGGTGGGAATGCAAATTAGTAAACCTCCATGGAAAAGAGTATGGAGATTTCTCAAAGAACTAAAAATAGAACTACCCTTTGACCCAGAAATCCCACTACTGGGTATCTACACAAAGGAAAAGATAACATTATTTTTAAAAGACACCTGTACGCCTATGTTTATCGCAGCACTATTCACAATAGCAAAGTCATGAAATCAACCTAAGTTGATTAATTATCAGTGGTTGATTAGATAAAGAAAATGTGGTACATATACACCATAGAATACTATGTATCCATAAAAAAGAACAAAATCATGTCCTTTGCAGTAGCATGGATGGAGCTGGAGGCCACTATCCTGAGTAAACTAACTCAGAAACAAAACCAAATACCATGTTTTCACTTACAAGTGGGAGCTAAACAAGTGGGTACACATGGACATAAAGATGAAAACAACAGATACTAGAGTCTCCAAAAGACTCCAAAAGAGGCTGGGGAGAGAGGTGATAGCTGAAAAATTACTTAAGGGTATAATGGTCATTAATTAATTGATGTGTACACTAGGAGTCCAAACCCCACCATTGTGCAAGATATCCATGTAACAAACTTGTACCTTGGATTAAAAATACAATTTAAAAGAAAAGCAGGCATAATGTTAAAATTGAATTGGTAACAGTAACATGAACCCTTTTTTTCTCATTTATTTCTTAAATGTATTTTTTAACTGGCAAATGAAAATTGCATGTATGTTATTCTTAAAATGTGGTAAATATAGTCTCAATGGAATACTATTCAGTGACCAAAAAAAGGGAACAAATCCTGTCATTTGTGACAACATGGATGAACCTGGAGGACACTATATTAAGTGAAATAATTCAGACACAGAAAGACAAAACACTGCATGGTCTCACTGATCTGCAGACGCTAGAAAAGTGGATCTCATAGGAGAGAGCAGAATAGTGGTTACCAGATGCTTGGGGTGGTTAGGGGGAAAGGAGAATGGGAAAGTATCAGTAAAAAGACATAAATTACAGTTAGATATGAAAAGTTAAAAACCAGAATAGGCTAATATACAAATATTAAACAATTGATTGACTGGGCTCAGGAGGTGGGTCAGGGAGAGCAGAAGAGGGAAAGAGAGAAAAATGAAGAATTGCTACTAATGGTTAAGAAGTTTCTCTATTGGATGATTAAAATACTCAAATTGATCATGGTGATGGTTGCACAACTCCGAGGATATACTAAAAAGCATTGGGTAGTACACTTTAAATGGGTGACGTGTGTGATATGTCAACTGTATTTCAATAAAGCTTTGAAAGTATTAAATTGCATCTCTTCAAATGAGATGTCAATCTGGCAACATATACCAAGAAAACTGAATGTTATTAAACACTTTCTTTGCCTGATGGCAGACCCAGTATTCTAGACCCAAGACTAATGTTGAGGCCATCTTCTAGGGCCCCAAGAGCAGAATCCCTGGCACCAGACAAGGCACCACACTACGAACTCAGTCTGGAGACCTATGAGTAAGCAGTTCCCTGTTGGATCAAGAAAGAGCTGGAGGAGAGTAGCAGGGCCATTTGGATGTTAGCCATAAGCAGCCGGACTAGGAATTCTTACGTGTCCCTGACCCAGCACAGAATAGCCTCAAAACTCAGTTCAAGATGTGCTCACCAAAGGCAGGAGGGGCCCTGAGCCCAATGCAGGCAAGGTGTGGACAGCTTATGTACCACATTTAGGACAGCACTCCACAGACCACAATTTCTTACATGATCACAGCCAGTGGAAGTATATCTCTAAAATCTAGAAAGCTATGTAAAAAGAGATCTCGGCACCTTGAGATGTTATTCTTGAAGTATGTTAACTTTTCAAATTCTCCTCATTCCTCTAAACAAATTGCTATTTCTTGATCTGACACAATATACCTTGGTAGACCATTCATTAAAGCTGCACTGTTTAAGTCTGTGGTTTCCTACTGGCTCTTGCTATCATTTTTCAGTTCTTTGAGATGTAAAGAGGCTTGGGAGACACGAAGCAGCAAGTTGTGACAAGTACCAGAAACAGACCCCAGCTTCTTGGATTCCAACTAAGGTTTCTTTAGATGCACGCCACACTGAGATAAAATCCTGAGCCATCTGAAAAATCATCAAAATCAGGTGTATTTGACAATAAACATTACATACAGCAATAGTTTAAGTTGCTAACACACTTTCTTTGACAGAAACGTTAAGTTATCAAACTACTTTCAGATCTGACTTCATTTTGCATCATGATGTTTAAGTTTTACCACTACAGCTGGAATTAATTTCATTACAAGCCAAAGAGAAGACAGCTTACAAATTAAGATGGTATCCTCTAATTTAACAATTCCATCCTATTCAAACTAACATTGTTAAATATCAAAAGAGTAATACAAATACATTGGATTTACCAAATAATGGGAAAAGGCCAAAAAATAAAGTTTTGTTTTTGCTGGATTTTCATTTCTTCATCTTATCCTAAGCACCTTAGGTGTCAACTCTGTAATGTGACATTAAGATAATGTTTATGATGTCCACCTCCACAGGACAAGTAAGATTCAATTATAATAGGAACTATGATGGAATGTACTTCAGAGAGAATGAGAAAGCATATCTATCAGTACTGAACCAGCTTTGATATATAAACAGAAATAATGGTCTCATCACTTAACACAAATGCTGGCTTAGAAGTCTCATTTGTTTCTACTCTAAAATTATTTCCAGAATCACAAACCTGATGCACTGTAGAAGAAAGAAATATAAGGAAACATAACCTGAGACCAAAACTGGCCCCAGGGAGAAACTGCTTGGAGTGGCAGAATGAACCCCCAGACAAGAGCTGTGTGGGCTGGACCAGCTCTCCAGGCATCGCAGGGGGAGTGGGATCAAGTCTTCAGCAAGTTGGACACAGGCTCCAAATGCTGCCAGTGACTCCCCATGATGGTCTGAGTAAACAAAGCAGCAGGAGAGGTGAGACAGGCTGTCCTTTCTGTCACTGAGCTGCAAGGAGAGGGAGCACAATGGAACGTAAGGGCCACTGACTATGTGCTACACACTGTGCTGAGCTAGAGACTGCCTGGTGGAAAAGGACCAAACACCATAGGTAACACCTTTGTGAATTCTGGCTACTACACAAATTCTAAACACATGCGGTCTTCACAACTTCGACGAGAAACTGCTTTTTAAGGTATGAATAAAACTCTAGCTTTTCTCAATGTCTTAAAAACAAAACACACATGAATAATAAGTAGTACAATTATCCAACTGTGCTTCATCAATTTGACTTTCAGTCAAAGTACTATAGAGGGAGAAGTGAGTACAGGGTGTTGATCTGTGGTGCTGTGAGGACAAAGATGAATGACTTGGAACACATCACCCATGGCTCTCCATCCTGATGAAGTCTCCACGCACAAGACAGGGCAAGGAGCTGCTAGGACAGTGCTGGGATGAAATACTGAAGGGAGACGTCTTCGTGAAGCAGATCAAAATGCACCATCTTGTTATTCACAATATCTGGGAAGAGAAAAGTCCACTTAAAGACCCAGTGCAGCACACACATTCTGTCACACACAAGCTTTTCAGAACAGCTTTCCCATCCTGTAACTGTTTTAGGTATCTGTCTTCCCCAGGAGCTGTAGAGACACAGCCTCTTGGTCTCACAGCCACCACAGTGGAGGCCACATCATGGCTCCGGTGCAGGCGGCTCTCCCCGGCAAGGACAAGAGAGGAAAAGTGAAGCCACCCGGTCCCTTGGTGAAACACTCAGTGGGTTGGTTTCCTGGCAAACCACATTTACCCAAACCGGTGTCCTTCGGCGGGAGAAGCAGCTTCCCACCAGTGAGTGGAGAAAGTGTACTAAGAAAAGTCAAGGTCCAGGGTCTCCCTAACATCTGGGGCAAGCTGCATCACACACTGCAGTGCAGGATGGATGCCTGCATTTCAGGGGTCCTGCAAGCCTCCTGTTTGGGTAAATGTGGTTTGCCAGGAAGCCAACCCACTGGGTGTTTCACCAAGGGCCCAGGTGGCTTAACTTTTCCTCTCTTGTCCTTGCCGGGGAGAGCTGCCTGCACCGGAGCCATGATGTGGCCTCCACTGTGGTGGCTGTGAGACCAAGAGGCTGTGTCTCTACAGCTCCTGGGGAAGACAGATGCCTAAAACAGCTACAGGGTGGGAAAGCTGTTCTGAAAAGCTTGTGCTGGGTGACAGGCAAAATTCAAGGAATCAGGTATAAGACCACACGGAAGAAAAGTGCACTTGAAAGCAGGGGGGAGCATGAGGTGTGACAATCACTGAGAGCACAGAGATTTGCAGCACTGTAGCCAAGGAGGAGGGCATGCCAGGAAATGTGACTGAGTGATGAGAAACCATGAGTGAGCAGGCAGCAGAGACCAACCCCAGGAAAATCAGAGGCTGGGAAAGGGACCACAAGACAAATAGGAAGACGAATGTTCTTTAGGAGACATGTTGCAGTGGCACAGGGGAGGCAGAGTGAGACTGAATATGGCAGAGACCTATCCCAGAGGTGGGGACAGCTGAGCTGACACTGGAAGAGGCTGATAAAGAAGATAGGAGGTTGGGGGAGATAAGGAAAAGATATGAGAAGTTCAACATAGGATCTTTAAATTTTTGCTGTATCACAATTTGCTGGTCCCCCTTTTTCCTGCTATACTTGGGTATTCAGCAAAGTGAAATTTCAGAGACTGCCCGTGGCCAGTCACCCACCTTTGCTGATAAGGACTCTTTTGTGTTTTTCATCAGCTTTGATTATTCAGAAGGGTCCCAAAATGCCAAGTTCAAGGACAGATGCAGTGCAGTTCAGGGACAGAGAAGGGGCATGTCATACTCTCACTACTCACACTGTGTTCGTCAGAACCAAAAACTTAGGCCTCACCAAGAAGCTTGTTAGAAATGCAGCCAAGAGGCCTGCCCAGAACCGTGAACAAAGAGTTTGCTTTACAAAACCCCCAGGTGCTTTCCACATATCAGGGTTTTGAGAAGTGCTTTCCTCTACCTTCACAGATCCTGCACTGCAGTGTAGCTCCCACCATACTCAACCCTAGAAACCAACATCATCAATGTCAAAGTTTAAGATGCAGCAAAAGTAGACACGGGTGCTTCCCCTCCCCAATCTGGGCTACTCTAGCTTCTCCTTCTCCACCCCAGGCAGCTGTTCCTCTGGCAATATCACCATCTGTGCCCATCACTCCACCTGATGCCTTTCCTAATTTCCTAACCCCCACTGCCTCGCTCATGATCTTTCCTCTCTGGTCTCTCCTGTTTCTCTTTGTATCTCTCAATTCAAAAAAGCTGGTCTTTGACATAGCCACCTAGACTCTTCTGTTCCTTTTCTAAAGCATGCTACACATCTGAAGGGTTATGAGGTACAGGCCTGGGTTGTCCTTCTCTGTCAGCTCTGCTCCAGGCTCAGCCTAGGAGATACTCCACGAAAGGTGGACCGTCAAATCCAAACCATAGCTTCTTCTTGTTTGCTGTAATTTTAGTAGCAAGGAGACCAAAAAAAGCCTCAAAAAGCTCTTAGCAAGTAATGCCTTTCTCACATGTGGTGAGGGGATGGAGCGGGCTGGAGCAGGTGTATAACCTCAGACAATGGGACCAAGCCACAATCAACAGACAATTGTTAGTCATCAGCATCTCAGAGGGAGACAGGCCGTGGGCACACGTCAGGGCAGCCACAGAATGAAAACAAGATACCACGAGCAGAAGCTTAAATCCAAACAGAACGGTATGTGAGCCTCTGAGTACATAAAATTGGATGAACACAGAGAAGGCAGGATGATCTGCACCTGCACGTCTCTCTGGGCAAGCCCGTCAAGGGAAGCAGCCCACAACCCACCTGCCAACGCAGTGTGGCTGTAAGTTTTCAGGGCTAACAGAGTGTCCAGGGGTTGTTTCTTTGCTGCTACCTCTAGGTACTTGTGAGTCCAGGAAAATTCAAAAGACCCAACTGTCCTAGAACATGAGAATCCACATAACTGAGCTTTATTTGCATTTATGAGACTGCATGCAATCTGTTAAACTAGGGTTGACTCAAGTATTTTTTTTAAAAGTATATATATATACATATATATATACACACACACACACATACACACATATAGAGAGAGAGAAGTGAACTCACTGCATAAGGCCCTTGTAGGATTTACTTGTTGTCCAGCAAGAAACTGTAGGAGCTTCCTAATATCTATGTGCACTTCAGCCATTTGTTCTGGATTTCTGTCTTGAGAAGTACTTTCAGAGACTAAAAGGACATAAATGTTTTAAAATACAATGTATTTGTGGGAAATCAGAGATACTCAATGCATTTTACTTAATGATTCACCTTACCACTAATTTTAGTATCACAGACAAATACTACAACTTATAAATCTCATTAGTTAAACATGCATTTATTCCTAACTATTTAAAATATTATGACAATTTCCAGGGGATCATCACCTACAGGGACTTGAAATATGACTCAATCTCCCCCTTTAGGTCAAATATAATTGTATTTATTAGTATTTATTAGAAACAACCCCTGGACACTCTGTTAGCCCTGAAAACTTATAGCCACACTGCGTTGACAGGTGGGTTGTGGGCTGCTTCCCTTGACTGGCGCTATGTATTTAATAGCTGAACCATACACATATAGCTAATGCAAGACTTTTTGTTCGAAAGTGGAATTGAAAAAGAAAATTTTGCCGGGCTCGGTGGCTCAGCCTGTAATCCCGTGCTTTGGGAGGCTGAAGTGAGTGGATTGCCTGAGCCCTCAGGTTCAAGACCCACCTGGGCAACTTGGCGAGACCTCATCTCTACAATAAATCAAAAAATTAGCTGGTTGTGGTAGTGCGTGCCTGTAGTTCCAGTTACTTGGAAGGCTGAGGCAGAAGGATCGCCAGAGCCCAGCAGGTCGAGACTGCACTCCAGTCTGGGCGACAGAGTGAGACTCCAACTCAAAAAAAAAAAAAAAAAAAATTTCTTTCAATTTTTGGAAGGAAAAGTCCAAAGATAAGTTCCACCCACCTTCTGTTAATTAAAATAAACAAAATGAGTGACACCAAGTAAGTCATTTCACACAATATTATCATAGTCTTATCTATATGGAGTTCATGCTGCTGGAACAGTATTCCCTACTGTATTCCCTACACTACAGTAAAAATCTCTTGCAATGCTATGCTGTTTATATTCAAGCAAACTTGTGGCAACAAATCTTAATTCTAAAAGTGAGGAATTTGCAAGGCCTATTTGATCTGTTGTGGAACAAATGTGTACCACAAAAATGCTTTCCCAGCATCAGCAGGTCCTCGTCCCCTGGTCCTCTGCCTGCTTCCCTGTGCAGGCAGCCTCTGTAACTGTGTTGCCACCCACTGTGAGCTCTCTGGCTATGGTTCTAACTCCTTTCAGCTTATGACTTACCAAGCTATCCAACTGCCCCCGCTTTTACTGCTTATTGAACTGAATCCAATGTCCTTATTACCTCGTATGAGACTTAAAATGTGACCAAGTGAAAACAGTTTTGCATTTGCTGATCTAATTTTATAAGTATTGAGTGACTAAAGGAGGAGAAAAGAAGAAATGCAACTACCTTTCTAACACCATTCCAGGTGAAAAATTTAGGAGCAGACGAAAATTGAAGAGTTGGAAGGGGTCTTGGAAGTTATTTAGCTTGACCTGAATCCCACAGAGGAAGGAAGGAGACTCTGCACTGATCCTTCAGCTGCTTGATAGCACAGCCCCTCACCCAGTGGCTAGGTAGTCCAATCTCAGTCCCTCTGTTCTCTCCCCAAGCATGAAACTAAGGCAACTGAAACTCAACTCTTTTACATTAAGAGACCTCAACAGGTAAGTTATCTAAAACAATTAATTAAAAGCAAAATATAACCCTCTAGGAAACTTACCTAATGGAGGATTTGCAAGATCTTTAAAATGAGTTGTAACACATACTAATTCAGTTTCTATTTTCAAGTTCAATGCTCCACTTAGGTTTGCTTCAATAATCTGCGAAATTCAAAATTTTACATAGTCTTAAAAAAGAAAAGACAAAAGAAAAAAAACCCATTGGCACTAGCTTCCAGATGACAAGGTAACCCCACAAGACCTCATAACACCTCAGAGGGAACCGAGGCCCAAGTGGTATCAGCAACAGAGAAGATAAGGCCTTCAGAGCCAGCTGGATTTTAAGAAAATGGAGAAAAACCCCTACTGTATTCAGCCCTCCCCACCCCACCTCAAATTAATAAATCCAAGCTATGAAACAAAATCAGAATGGAAACAGTCTTTTTACACCAATATTATATATTAGGAGACAATGCAGTACAGTGAGCCTAACTGACATTATGAATGTGTGAAATCTAATGCAATCTTATTCCCGTAAATCCTTCCTGAGTGATAAACTAGAGAATAAGCTTTTGATAACAACAACAACAACAACAAAGACTAGAGAAGTTAAAAATGCACGAGACGTTGGAAGGTATAAAAAGCATAAAAGTTGTGAGTTATTTTTACCTGTAGAACTAAAACCAAACAATAGGAGTGAAGAGGACAGAATGTGTAATAATTTTATGCCATGACAATGTAGACATAATATAACCATCACAAAATGGAAAAAGGAGAATAGAAAAAGAATGTGGAAGTTAGTTCCTTAGTTTTAGAAATGGGCCAAACCATCTGCCATAACTATATAGTTAATGTAACTATAAAGGCCTTTAGAATTAAATAAATGACTATGAGAACAAATTCACAAAAGTCTGAAGCTGCTACCAGGTTGGCTGTGCCAACCCTACATGTCCACATTACCAGGCCTCTGCCTCTCCCTCACTTCTCCTCCTTTCTTCTACTCCTGTCCTTCCTGACCTGGGACTCTCCCGATGGGTCACAGAGGACTGCTTTCCATTCAAGCTCACTCGCCTACCACCAACCAGGTGGTTCTTTTAAATGGATGGAAACTAAACGTGAAATGCATGCCACAACGTGGCTGGAGATTTTGGTAGCCTGCCCATAGCACACAGTATTTCTCTTACTGATGTTGGTGTTTGCCCAGCGTCAAAGCCCAACCCATCTTTTGCCTAACCAGTGATACAAGAGTGCCACCTAGCAACTAGAAAGGTAAGTGCAGAGGTCTTATTTTGTAGGCACCATCCAAGTGCCTCAGAACTGCACAGCTCTGCTTCTGAGTCCATGTCTAGTGAATACAATTGAGTGTTCCTCGTTCTTATTCCTTAAAATTGCTGAAGTGAACATTTCTCATTCCAGAAACTAAACAAAAAGGTTTTTTTTTAAAAATTTGGGTGACTTTTTATTTCTAAGCTTTTGACATTAAATAGAAAAACAGTACTCCAAACTTAACTTGTTGCATAACTTAGTAAACTCACCTTTGAATGAGAAATAGTCTTTTTCAACCTTTTTCATCAACCCAAAAATATATCGTTATTTTTCTTAACCCATCCTCCTTAATCTGAATTTAAAATACATAAAACCAACCTTATGAATATTGTGGACTGCTTACTGGAGCACTGTGAATCTAACATATGATGTATGTGTGATTGTTTTAAATAACCATACACCCAAGATCTGTAAATTCCCATTGTTTTTAAAAACCAGTGATTTCAGATACAAATAAATACTTATTCAAGAAAGCAGCTTGCAGTGGTTTTAGACTCACTTCTGATTTAAATGCTCTCTTATGCTTTCTTCCAATCTGAGTAACAGAACATTAGATGCCAACTCACTCCTGACTATACCCAGTATCTGGCACCTGGCAGCATCCAATCAACTCTTATTGAAGAAATTAACAAACAATGAATTCTCTGAACACTGGTCAGTCATTCACATCTGTTTTACAAATTCAGTTATCTGGAATATTCAGTGCATCAACACATTTGATTTCTTAAGATCGTCTTTCAATAATTTTCCTTAATAATAGTTATTTACCATTTGTCATATGCTGACTAATTACACCAGGCATCTAATATTAATTATCTCTAAAGTTACAAAAAGTAAAATCCCGTCACTGCTGCACTGTTCTTCCCATTTGGGGTATCCTAGCACGATGGCCCATGCCAAGCAGGGTAGTTGGAAGCTGAACCCAAGTGTGTGGCTCCAACCATTCCCCTCTTCCATGTCATGTAGGTTCTCATTCCTAACCTCCAACTCTCGTTTCAATCATTAAGCTGATCCTGTGAAGCTCTGTTTCTCAGATAACATTTGAAGTACAATATGGAACAGCACACATCGCAAATCACTGATACTTATGTCGTCTGAAGGTATGCAGAATTGACAACCCTTAGGAGCTGGTCAGAAACAGGGTCTCAGGCCCCAGCCCAGAAATCCCAAATCTAAACTTGCACTTTAACCAGATCCCAGGGGATTACATGCATAACAGAGCTTAGAAGCAATATCTTGGAACATGATGTAGATTCTTGGCAGTCCTTGCTCCTTTGTCTGCTCTTATAAGGGTCACATACACAACTCACTCTCAGTCACATCTTGCAGTAAATGAAGGAAATAAGGAATAGAGCACTTCTGATGTGTAGGTGGACATTTTTTATGTGTCAAGTACACCAATTTTCCATTATTTTATTACCTGTAATATTCAGATACAGAATTTTGCTACCTAGGTAGATCTCATTATGTACTCAGCTACTCTAACTTGCTAACTTTCCAGACTACAGTAGCCACTCCACAAAACTTCTATATGTTTTTTAATCACTCTAGAAAAAAACAAAACATCTCTGATGATTTTCTCTAAGCTACCCTTTTACCTTTCTACTTTGCTGACTCATCTCCAGTGAACAGAAAGAACAAACAAATTGATCCTCCAATTAATTGCCCTATCTTTTCTCTCTAGGGTCTCTCTGAATCTCTCTGGAACTCCCCAGGGTATCCCTAGAGGAAGCCAGCCTAACAACTGGATCAACATCATGGTAGTCACAGGGGACACCAATATCAGCACAGTGACATCGCTTCATGGGAAACATATTTTAAATTAAAATGAGCTCTATAAGGATTAAGTTATGAAGGAAAAGCTTTAAGCTGGGCAGGCCCAATAACAGCTTTGTTCTTAAGTGAGCAAAATTCTAGAAAAAAACAGCCATGAACAAAAAAATAAGGTTTCAAAAAATTTTTGTGATTCAAAGATTCCCTAGAAGCTGAATTTCACGCCAGATCCATGCAACACTTATCACTGCCTACTGAGTGACAATTCTACATTGAGCAGATGATTAAAATGGGGTTTTCCTTTTCAAGAAACTGGAAGTTTAAGAGGTGCTCTGGGATATCAGCAGGTGATTTACCATGTACATCGGAAAACACGGCTCATCAGAGGAGGGGCTTCCAGCAGGAAGGTGGGGAAAGGTCCATGATGAACTGCAAAAATAGCTAAGTATCTTCTGCGGAGACTGAGAGAAGAAACCATGTGTGAAATGACAAAGAAACAGAACAGAAAAGGAAGCAGCCTTGTAGGCCAATGCCAGAGTACAGTAGCATTCCAAAGGGAGGACATGGTGGTGGAACAGAGATGGGGTTGCAGAGGTGGCTTGGCAGATTGTAAAGATCAAAAGTTTATGCTTCGTCAGGTGGATGCTGGTTTTTAAGATTCAGGGGCATAATCAAATGTGTTTTGTGAGGGGTGAGTGAAAGAAGAATTCAGAATAACCCTGAGTGTGAACAAGGATAATCCACCCAATTCCCCACCACTGTCACATGCTGTGGCATCTTGAGACATATGGCAGTAGAAGACTTTCATAAAATAAACAGAAATATAAAAGTGCCCACCAGCTTAGTGTGAGAGTTGCTTGGAATAAATGCTGCTATAATGTGGCACATCTTTATCCTTAGTTCACTGAAAGACACTTGGCAAGAAAATACACCACTCCAAATTCACTGTCAGTCATATCAGAGATTCACTGAAAAGTATATACATGTTAGCAGATAAAAGATGTAATAGTCCATCCAAAATATAAGGGGGAAGAAAAGGCAGAACTGTTGAAAGTATTCTATATATATATATATATTTTTTTTTTTTTTTTTGAGTCAGAGCCTCACTCTGTCACCCAGGCTGGAGTGCAATGGCACACTCACAGCCACCCCAGAGTCAACCTGCTGGGCTCAGGAGATCCTTCTGCCTCAGCCTACCAAGTAGCTGGAACTACAGGTGCACGCTACCACACCCAGTTAATTTTTTTCTGATATATTATAGAAGTGAGGTCTCACCAAGTTGCCAGGGCTGGTCTCAAACCCCTGGGCTCAGGCAATCCTCTTGCCTTGGTCTCCTAAAGTGCTGGGATTACAGGCTTGAGCTACCATGCCCAGCCGAACACAGTCTTAATATACTATAAAAATAAACACTAAGATTAAGGGCAAATATAAAAGCTTTCCTTAGTGAATGAGAGTTAAAAAGTACTAGATTAGGTTTCTAAAGGCAACTGTCAACCTAAGGGTTCTCAACACCAGGCCAGGTTTTCATAGGCTAGGATTCAGGTGAGTGGGACGTTGTGGGGTAAGCACAAAAACAGCCAAATTTTGGTCCATGGTGAAGATGCCTTCCAGGACAAGAAGCCATGTAGGCTACACCAAACACTTCAGAGGTTGTCTTAAAGAAGTTATAACTTACAAGGTGGTTGCTGATGTTTTTCATTTTTTCCACAACACTCTTCATAGTCTTCAAGACTGGTAAATAAATACTAACCTACAAAACCAATGAGAAAAATCACAAGTATTAAAAATATTAACATACTCTAGTAATGACAGGTGCTCCATAGTTAATTTTGGAATGCATACATGCTCAAAAACTGTGGAATCGTTTTTAACATCTCTGAATAAAGTTATTTCAAAAAATCAAAAGAAAACCAATTTAATTAACAAATGGGCATTCAAGCAAAATTAAAGAACAGAATGCCTGCCTCTGGTTACCTCGGTGACCACGTCACTGTGGGCATTCTTCTGGTTCAAAAAGAACTATAGTATTCAGCTGAGATGTCCTCCCTAAGTCCACAGAGAATAAAACTCAGGCACTCAGCAGGAGGCCTTCCTCTAAGGGATGTTTATACCCAGGACTCAGGAGCCTGTTCCATACTCTGTGCAAAAACATAGCGAGCAGTCACTGCATCACATCTGAGACTGTGTTACTAATATGCTTTATAAAATGTTGACTTTCTCAAAATCAGTGTAGAAGTCTTCTAGTAAAAGTAAAGTAACTACAGAGGGTGCCAAAAAAATGTATACACATGTTTAAAAAAGAAAAACTGTATTACAATTGTAATACTCAATATATATTGATAATAAAAGATGAATACAAGTCACTTTTGACTTCTGCAATTACAAGAGATGCTCAAAGTGGTTACCATCAGCATCCAGACACTTCTGATTACAGCAGTCTAAAAGTAATACATAGATAATACCTCTTAAAATGTGTATATATATATATAAATTTTTTTAGCACCGCCAGGGCATTTAACCCAGTATATTTTTGTAATTTCTTCTTAAATAAATTGTGAACAAGCAGCAAAGGGCCCTGTAGCATCCATCATCTTTATTTTCAGAGGTTCTGAGTTTCCTAATAGCAGGATTGTTAACCCAAGCTTTAAGGCATGAAATTCCTTACTTCATGGCTTTCTGACACACATCTATACATCACTCTTGACAGGCTGAGCAAAACGATCAAGTCTTGCGAAACTCAAAATAGTGCCTAAGGCCAAGAGTACTAATAAATATTAATTGTCCTCCAAAGTATTATTTCCACTTTGTTTTGTTTAAGTGCTGTTATTAAGACATTAGGAGAGAGTATGACATTTCTATCACATGCAACATGCTTTAAGATGCTTTACATAAATAACAAAAGGCAAATATTCTGACTTTTTCCTTAACTTTCCCTTAAAAATGAGTATCACTTTAAGGACTACATAACATTCAAATCAAAATGAGTATCACTTTAAGGACTACACAACTTTCAAATAAAATATTCTGCAAGATTACAACTAAAATTAGAGAATTCAAATCATGTCATTTAATGTGCTGAACAACATGACTACAGGTATCACTTACATCAGGGTCTGGGACCACAGGTTCTTGTAAGTCCTTCCACAATTTTCTAGGAATAACCTTTACGGGGATGTCATGTGTCACAATGCGGCTACTGCTTGACACAGATAACTGCCAAGAATTAAAAAATACAAAACAATATTTTTAGGTTGTAAATATTTTTTAAAATGAGAACAAAAAAGACACCAAATCTAAGTAAAACAGACCCAATTCATTCACTCAAAATCCATTCAACCAATACAGATGGTGTGCATGTTCTACTATGGTGTGTATGTTCTACTTTTAGGAGCTGGGAAATGTGCTGAATAAGACATGGTTTGTAATGTTCCAGTGGATATAAGCATTAATAAGAAAATAAACAAATGAAATTACATAAGATGTTCATTAGAGCCTTGAGAAAGCACAGCAGTGACCAATGTTTTGGGGGAAGTTCCCTAGACTAGGATGTCAGGGGAGGCCTATCTGAGGAGGTGACGTTTCAGATGCCACCCAAATGAGAGTTATGGGAAGATGAGGATGAAGGGACAGTGTTTCAGGCAGGGGAAACAGCATATGTAAAGCCAAGAGGCAGAAAGAAGCAAGCCTGCTATGCAACCAAAGACCAAACTTTGCACACAGATGTTCAGGGTGCTGTAGTTTCTACATGGCTGAAAAGATAAACTATGCTTAACTTATTTCTTTTTTCTTTTTTTGAGTCAAAGTCTTACTCTGTCACCCAGGCATGATCATGATGATCATGGCTCACAGTAGCCTCAACCTTCTGGGCTCAGGTGATCCTTTCACCTCAGCATCCCAAGTAGCTGGGATTACAGGTGAGTGCCACCATGCTCAAGTAATTTTAAAAAAATTTTTTGTAAAGATGTGGTTTAACTATGATGCCCAGGCTGGACTTGAACTCCTGGGCTCAAGCAATTCACTTGCCTTGGCCTCCCAAAGTGCTGGGATTATAAGCATGAGCCACAGCCTAGCTATGCTTATCTATTTCTAGGGGCTTCTATGAGACTCACAGAACAAAGTATCTCACACTTTTAGATAGAAAAGTATTATTTGAATCTCTTGCTTTTCCTTAAGCAATTGTAGAAAATTTATATTGTGACATGGAATACTCTGATTAGCTCTAAGACCTGCCTAACCGCAAAAAGATAATACAAAGTTATAGGTCATTGCTTTGTTAAGCTCTGGTGTGTTTATGTGGTTCTCTGAGCTATGGCCGCCATGTTTCCTTGCTTTGGTTCCCACCCCTACCTTGGAAAGGTGAATCTCCACTCTCTCTCTCTCTCATTTACTTTCTAAATAAATTATATTTTTCAATGTAAAAAAAAGTTATAAAGAAAAGTTGAGGAATCTTCTTCCATAAACAGCTTGAAACTGAATATAATCCTCACCTACAGATGAATGAATTACATAGCATATAAGGAAGGAGAGCTGTAAGGATAACGGAAGGCCAGAACCAGAACAGTACTGATACCGAGCACTAAGGAAGATAAAGTTTCAGAGAGTGAGAAGGAACAAGACCTAAGTGGAAGCCCCAACATCACCAAGGCCTTGGAGTTGGGAAAAAATTAGACACATCCAGAGAAGCTCTCAGAGAGTCATATTTTATAATTTGGCTCCAAGATGGGTACACCATATGTGAAAGGCTTTGGTCATGTTAAGAAATACGAACTTTATTCTACAAGTATTGAGAGCCACTCTGGTGTGTGTGTGTTCAGAGTTTCGAAAGCTCTGTACTGAACTCATCTGGCAGTAGCATCTAAGACAGATGTGTTAATGAAGAATGACTGGTCATTTAAAGGTATTATACCAGATGAGGGAGGGGAGGTAGAGGACAGAGGTTAAAGTAGATAGAAACCATGACTTCTAGACTAGGGAACAATACTACTAAAAGAGAGATGTGAGAGATGCTTGGAAAAGGCAGCAATTTAGTAAAATATTGTGTGATCACATGCTATTTCAAAATGAAGAGAAACTCTAATGGAAAAAATATATAGTTATGTACCAGATCTTTAATTTTGAATAAAACCAAATAGCTTTCAACATATTATTTAAAAACCTAGGCTGATAACTACTTTTATTCTTCGGAGGCCAAGACCTTTTGTGGAAAATTTCAGAAACCCTGTCCCTCCTACTCACCAGCTCTACCGAGATTGTGAGGCAGGGAAAGTGTTTATTGGTCAGTTTAATTTTCAAGGCTCTGGCATTCTGGGCAGTTTTCAAGGCTCGAGATAAGTTTTCTGATGTTAGCTCTAAATAAATCTCATTATTTTCTGCTGAGACGCCCTCCATTTGAAATTCGCTGAAGAAGTTCTTCTGAGGGAAGAAAATGGGAAGTGAGAGAGGGCATTTGTGATACTTCCAGCAGCAGTAAGCAGAGTATGCACGCCTATCAGGAGCTTCCGCTCACCTGGTCCAGCTCACACCACATGCTCACTCCTCCATTGGCAAGTTTGTCTGAAAGGATGAAGTTCAGCTTATCTGGGCTGATGCGGAGGGTGCTGGTTTTGGCGAGCTTAGCTATCATGTTACTGACTCCTACAGAGAGAGTTAAAATAAGAAATTACTTAAATGCACATCATTTATCCTGGAGGCCAGTTTATCTCGCAGAACTTCTGGTGAAAAATAAACCTTTACGTTGGTATTACACTGAAAAGGACTGTTAATACCGCTGATGTCATACCAGTGTCCCAACAATCCTGGGAGGCGTGTGGCACACACCATCAGCGTTCAAGTAGGTAAACAGGCACCTACAAGCCACTCATTAATTCAACACAAGCTTATGGATCGCTGGGTACTGCAGCATTGAGCTGAACCCAAGATTTAGGCATAGTCAGGGCGGAGGGATAATGGGACCTGACTGCAGGAATGTCAATGCCAGATAAAGATGTCCATGGGAGCAGTGGTCAGTTAAAAAAAAAATTAGGCAGTGTAATCAGAATAAAGTGTCAGAAATATCCCTTGCCCGCACTCACTCCCACAAGTGCCCTCCGCCACCGCCACCGCCCCCCTCCCCGCCCATCTTCTCGCCGCCCCTACTTGCACCCCCAGCCCCGCCGAGCCTCTCGCGGGGCCCCAGTCGCGCGCGCACGGCCTCCTTCCTGGCCCCCCTCGCGCCCTCTGGCCTCCTCGCTCACGCGTGAAGTGGTTCAGACAGGCCCCGTCCACTATCTTGGCGCGAAACTTCATGGCCGCGCCCGCGCCCCGCCGCGGTGACGTCAATCGACAGCGGCCTCGTGTTACGCCCTCAGCGTCCCCGCCCGGAAATGCGGTGGCACGCACAGTAGTTCCGCCTCGCTGGGGATCCGCGGCTCTTGCCCGGTATCCACCCGGCCGTGACCGGGGAAGAGGGCTGGCCGCCAAGCCACGCCCCAAGAGGGGTGGGGTCCGCCGAGCCACGCCCCGGGGGAGATGGGGGTCCGCTTTTAGTGAGGAGAGTGTCTTCAAGCCCCAGATGTGGGCAAGTGGTTATGGGAATTCACGTTTTGAAAGAACTTTCTGTTCTTTCAATTCAATTCTGTTTTAAAACATCCAAATAAAATCAGTCATGTATAAAGGACTAAATAAAATGATCTCTTAAATATACTTCTCTAAGCTAGAGCAGTTTTAACTTCCCCTGCCCCTGCAGCCTTAGATGACGGTACCGGTACCTCAGCTTAGAAGCATCTTGTTTGAATAAGGTTTCGAAAATTGTTTTAATTTTTTTTTTTAATTTGAACAAATTCCGACTAGTTGGTAAAGACAGGGTGCTTACACAACACTGACGTTAAATGATAATTCTGCGCCTTTGCCTCAAGATGAATTTAACCAGATCAGATACAATTCTTATTAGGATAATGTCATTAGAATTTTTAAAAAGAAAATAGATTTTAAAGGGAGGAAAATAGAACAACTGTATCTAATTGTAATGAAAAATTATGTTAAAATGTATTCTTTTTTATGCCCTTTGGAATTAGGAGACTAGAACCTTATCTTATATTTGATACATAGAAATCAAGATGTTAATAGTAATAATAGGGCAGGTTATTTTAAACGTGCAAAATACAAAAATGGCAAACAGTTTTTGCCTATTTTAAGACTATAATATGAAGCTAAATTCTAGTCTACATTGTTTCACACAAGTGTTTGCCAAGTCAGATGTGGTATATCACTTTTGAAAGTACGTCAACAACTCAAAAAAAAGAAAAAAAGTACGTCAACAAAACATGCTTTTTTTCTCTGCCTCATATAATCTGCAGAAAAAAACATGCTTTTTTATTACTTCGTAAATAAATTTTGAAGACTTGAGTATCACTTATTAAATAAGGTGGCTGCAGCCGGGCTCGGTGGCTCAGCCTGTAATCCCGTGCCTTTGGGAGGCCCCGCCTGGGCAACTTGGTGAGACCTCATCTCTACAATAAAGCAAAAATTAGCTGGGTGTGGTAGCGCGCACCTGTAGTTCCAGCTATTGGAAGGCTGAGGCGGAAGGATCGCCGGAGCCCAGGAGGTCGAGGCTGCGGTGGCTGGGAGCGGCCACTGCACTCCAGTCTGGGTGACAGAGTGAGACTCCAACTCAAAAAAAAAAAAAATAAGGTGGCTGCTACATAGATCATGAATATAATTAAAGAGTGTATCTAAACAAACTTTGTAAACCATGTTTCATAGCATATTGATCTTTACTGCAAATTGCTTAATTGTGTATTAAAAATACAATTTTTTAAACTTCTTAAGAAAATGTGTGTGATGGCTAGGCACAATGGCTCATGTCTATAATCCCAACACTTTGGGAGGCCAAGGTAGGAGGATTACTTGAGCCCAGAAGTTTGAGACCAGCCTGGGCAAAATAGTGAGACCTCATCTCTGCCAAAAAAAAAAAAAAAAAAAATTAGCTGGGTGTGGTGGCATGCACCTGTAGTCTCAGCTACTTAGGAGGCTGAGGCAAAAGGATTATCTGAGCCCAGGAGCTTGAGGCTGTGGTGAGCCTTGATCTAGCCACTGCACTCCAGCCTGGGCAACAGAGTGAGACTCCAACTCAAAAAAAAAGAAAAAGAAAAAGAAAAGAAAATGTGCCAGGCGTGGTGGCTCATACCTGTAATCCTAGCACTTTGAGTGGCAGAGGCAAGAGAATTGCCTGAGCCCACAACTTCGAGACCAGTCTGGGCAATGTGGCAAAACCTCGTTTGTACATAAAAAAAAAAAAAAAAAAGTTGGGTGTGGTGGCACATGCCAGTGCTTGCAGCTACTTGGAAGGCTGAGGTAGAAGGATCACCTGAGCCCAGCAGGTCGGGGCTGTAGAGGCTGCCACTCCAGCCTGTGTGACAAAGTGAGAATCCTACTAAAAAAAAAAAAAGGCAATGTTCTTACACTAAATAGGTTTAGCAAATTAATTCAACAACTTCAGAATTGATAATTGTGTTGACACTATTTCACTACTTTAGTTCCAAATGATTGTGAGGAAAAAAATGAAATCACTTGAGATTTTTAGAAGTCCCGTGTGCCACTGAGTTTTTTAGTGTTATGTATATTTATATTCTTGTCTAGCAAGTAAATTGCCTTCTGATTTAAAACAGCCCAACCTCAGGGGTTAGTAATTCAGTCATGCAATGACGGGTTGTGTGGGGGAGGGGAGATGGTGTTGATGCTGCTAGGTTTATTTGTTGGGGAGAGAAATGTTTTAATCTTGTGTTAGAAACTGAAATACAATAGCAGTGGGGCATAGAAAACGTCAGTCAGGATGTATAGTTGGAAGTAAGGGAACTAACCTCTCTACAGCTGCAAAGACAATAAACTCTACCTAGGTAAGTATTTGGCTGGTGTCTTTCAGGTGCTTGCTCATCCTTTTTAAGTCCCTGGAGGGAGAAGTGACTGTTTGCAATCCTGTTGTTAATGTCAAAAAAATTACCCAAGGGGAAAGAAACTAACTGACAGAGCTCAGAGGTTCTGCATCAAACTTGAAAGGTAATATTTGTCTTCTTTTTTTTTTTTTTACATAAGAAAACTGTAAAATAAAGGAAAGCATACTCTAGAGATAGCATGAGTGAATGTCTTTTGAGAATTATACTCCTTTTAAGGGATGAGTTTTTGCTTAAGCAGCTCTTCAAAGACTCTTCTCCTCTTTTAGATATCAAAGAGAAAGTACTTCAATAAATTCCACAGATAGTTTTAAAGTTAACATTTATGGAGAACGTGAAAAGTGTCAGGCGTGGTGGTGAGGGATGGGGATTGAGGAAGGAGACCACCCTCCACCCAGGAGGAGGGAGATCAACATTTGTTGAGTGCCTTCCATGTTTCATTTTAAAAGCACTATTTACATATTATCTATCAGCAGGGTGAGGTAGCTCTCATTTTATAGCAACTGTACACTGATATCATTACTTTGGTAACATAAACACCCATAAGATAAGTGCTATTATTCCCATTTCAAAGATAGGGAACAGAGAGAATCAGAAATATCAGCCATGGCACATCCTACCCACACTCTCTACAGGAATCTGCATCACTGGGTTGCTGAGTGTTCAGTGGCACACAAGTCTCTGTTGACTGGATTGGCTTTATTGACACTTGGCCTACAGGAAAGCAATTGATTATACATAGAGTGGACATACATGAAGACTCACCAAAGAAGATCAGGAAAAGTCTATGTATTCAGAGTCGGACACCATCACCTTTTGGCAGAGCCCTACAGGCAGGCATTGGAGAGTGAAATCTTCAAAGTGAGAGAGGGATGACTCATCTGAGCCCTGATGAAGACAGTCAGCCTGGGGAAGCTGGGGCAGCTCACTGGAAGCTGGACATCCCATATAGTTGGTTAGGGGAGAATATTTGGCTTTCTCTGTGGGTCCTACATTGGAAATTAGGCCAAAAGCTAGGCGATCGGTCAGTTATTTTTTTCTTTTTTAAAATTTTTATTTATTTATTTATTTTTTGAGTTGGAGTCTCACTCTGTCACCCAGACTGGAGTGCAGTGGCCGCTCCCGGCCACCACAGCCTCGACCTGCTGGGCTCCGGTGATCCTTCTGCCTCAGCCTTCCAAGTAGCTGGAACTACAGGTGTGCACTACCACACCTGGCTAATTTGTTTTTTATTTATTGTAGAGACGAGGTCTCACCAAGTTGCCAGGCGGGTCTCGAACCCGCAGGCTCAGGCAATCCACTTACCTCAGCCTCTCAAGGCGTGGGATTACAGGCTGAGCCACCGAGCCCGGCTTATTTTTTTTTATTATAAAGATATGGGGTACAATTCAGGGTTAGGTATACAAATGTTGATTTTACAGTTACCCTTGTTGATGAGGTGTGCCCCTCCCTCCCCTAGCAGTTTCCCTCAACTGCCAATCCCACCCCCCTCCCCTGACAGTTTCCCATTACTGTCAAATGCTTTCTTATAATATTATAATTGTTCAAGGTACACTTATGAGTGAGAACATATGGAACTCAGTTCTTTTTTTCTGTGATAGATCACTGAGTATGATCGACTCCAGATCCATCCAAGTTGCTGCGAAGTCCACATATTTGTCCTTCTTTATCGGCCAGTTATTAATCAAGTTCTGGTTATGTGGGGCTAGTTATTACAGCAGTTCTTTGGCTTCCTGGATCAGTTGCTAGAGAGGGTGGGCTGACTTCCTAGAGTCTGACTTCTAGAGAGCAGTCCTGGACTAGTTACTGCAGAGACAGGACTGACTTCCTGGGCAGGCTGCTACAGACTGTGGGGTTTGAGTTCTATTTTTATGTATGGTCTGGTCATTGTCCATTTGTATGTTCATTCTCTCAACAGGCTGCCAGCAATTTGCAGCCTAAATAAAAAGTAAATAAAGACAGAGCTCAGCTAATTTGGAGTCCTCTTTCCAGAACTGGGACTAGGAACCTGAGAAATTATAGCCATCAGGAAGTAAGGGTGAGATAGATATGTTACCTATTGATGTGTAACACACTATCCCAAAAACATGTGACTTCAACAAGATCTTTGATGTTGTCTGGGTGGTTGCTCTGTTGTTTTCACCAGGACTTCCTCATGAAGCTACATTCAGCTGAGGGTCTGCTGGGCTAGAAAGTGCAAGGTGGCCTTGCTCACAAGTCTGAAAGTTGGTGCTGCATGTTGCCTGGGCATCTCATTCTCCTCCACATAGTCTCTCATCCTCCAGCAGGCTAGACCAACTTCTCGACAAGGTGGCTCCTGGCTAGTGGTCCAAGGAGAGGGTGGAAGCTGCCAGGTCTCTCAAGGCTTAAGCTCCAGA